TGATTGATATTTAATAATTGATGTAGTGCATGGGTGGGTTACTTGTGCGCAAGATAGCTTGTGGCTAAGTCAGCCCTGATTACAGGCTGAGCCCCACCTGAGGGGAATCAGGGGATTCCAATGTAAAAGGCAGAAGGCAATTGCAGCCAGAGGTGTGGGTGAGAGGGGAGCTGAGCCGAGCCCAGCCAGCCATAGGGTGACCAGATAGCAAGTGTGAAAAATCGGGACAGGGGGTGGAGTGTAATAGGAGCCCATATAAAAAGAAGCCCCAAATATCAGGACTGTCCCTATAAAATTGGGACATTTGGTCACCCTAGCCAGCCAGCTAGATAAAGTCTAGGAAACTAACTATCCTGTAGACACTGCAGGGAGTAGTCAGAAGGCTTCTACCGAGTCCTGAGTCAGTAAGGGAAGGCACCACCTGAGAGAACCTGGGGAGAAGCACAAATTCCAGGCTGGGGATGCTAGGAGGCAGACTCTGCTCTGCTGACACCGGGACTGTGAGAGCTTGTGTTCCATTTTCAAAGACTTTGTGTTATTTTGGACTACAGAGTGAGAGAGACTGAACTAGGGTTGAGGCCTGGAGCGCTGCTGTGTACCAGAAGACTAAATAAATGGAACCCGTTGTGGGAATTGTTTTGAATTACCTTTAAATAGTGAGTTATTAAAGGGCCCCAATGAAGGAGAATTAGAGGCAGGTGGTGGCCACTGTGCTACAGTGCCATGAATTTGTAACTTTACAGAAACTAAAATGTCTCTGCCCTAAAGAGTTTAGAATCTAAGTTGATGTGTTAATAAAGTGTTTTATATGTATTAATAGTACACCTCTACCTCAATATAATGCTGTCCTCAGGAGCCAAAAAATCTTACTGCGTTATAGGTGAAACCGCGTTATATCGAACTTGCTTTGATCCACCGGAGTGCACAGCCCTGTCCCCCCAGAGCACTGCTTTACCGCATTATATCCAAATTTGTGTTATATTGGGTCATGTTATATCGGGGTAGAGGTGTATTATGTAGGGCTAAAATATATTAGCCACAGAACAGATGCACTGGACAGAGAGGAAGGGATGCCAGGAACCTCTCTGTGACCACCTGCTGGACAAGGGCAGCAGCACAAATTCTGGTGAAAGGAGTAGTAATGAGGGGTGGGATCACACTGCCCACAAGGCTTTGGGAACTGTTAATCCCAGATAGTGCTATATCTCTGCCTCCTACTTCTGGGGAGGGGAAGTCAGCATTTGGACCTTAATAACAAGCATACAGCAGAACCTGCTAATAGTAAACTAGATATAGTGAAACTTCATTTATAGTGGCGAAGTAGAATGAAATATTTAAATTTTCACTAAATTGCAGTGTGAAAATAACAATTCCAATAACAGTGACCTTCATCTTATTGTTAAATTCTGTGAGTGGAAAAACAACTTTGCTCTCAGTAAAATTCACCCCTGCCCTTCAGCAGTCTGACATGAAACCTCTGCACCATTGAACCCTTAGGGTTTAGTACCGACTCTGTGAAATAGAAGGGTGAATTTTGCCCTCTAAGAGAATACCTTGCAAGTTTTGGCTATGGTGCCTTTGGTACTATTTTGCCTGGTGATATCAGTGCTTTATTCCATTTGAATAGAGCTGTGTGAGCTTTGCGTGTGTTTTTTATTTATTTATTTATTTTTAATTTAAACCATTTTTCTAAATCAAGTCATTTGCCTGTAGATGAAGTCATTTGTCACTGCCTTTAGTTATGGAGCCCAGATAGTGTCTGCAGTCTCAGAGTCTCATTAAACAGACAGATCTTTATCAGTAATCAATATTTTCAATATTTGTTAATATTAAACTGTCATTAATGACTAGTCATTTAAAATTAATTTGTGCCAAAGGACTTATTATGGGCCTCATAATTGCAATAGAAACAAAAGACAGTGAAGCCACTAGAAGATGTATTCTTAACCAGACCAATATATCAGTCAAAATGCATAGACTTGAGTTCTGATGTTGAACCTAACTAATAAGCAGTACTAATAGAGAAATTCCCAAATTGTAGAGAAGTCCTTATTAGAATGCAGCGGCTGTTTACTTTCATGACAGTGGGATCCAGCCAGCATGGTCAGAACACAGTGGTAATGGGTCAGTAAGTTTGCTTCTGCTGCAAAACATAGATCTTTTTCTATCCTCTCCAATAAGTGTGTATTAAAAAGCAGCTTTATTTTGAAAATAATTGGAGTTACTTTCCAGTTTTTCTTCTTTATAACATACTGCACCCTCATTATTAATCAGCTTTAACCCCTGGTGCCTAGCCATGTGGTCTTCAGTTCTCGTCTTCTTTCATATGGTGTAAAAACCGAGCAATGTGTGAGATGTTCAAATCTAGGTTGGTGGTTCAGTTGATTGCCTCAGGTGACATGAAGTGAATGGCAGAGATATCACCAGCATATGATCACTGAGGACATTGGTTGACAAGGCATTCCATAGTTTGAAGTTTGTTTTTGCAGTCACAAATAGGATTGTGGCTTATGGAGGATGTAGGTACATCTGCCATCTGATGTGGTTACAGTTCAGAATGGACCCTAAATTCCATGAGAGTGAACAGCTGCTGGGATCTTTGGTTGGGTCCTTGATGAATTCCGTGTTTGGGTCATTGTGTTTGACATCCACCTTGCTTGCCACTGATCCTTGGAGGAAATCCCAAGTCTTTGAGATCTTGCACTGCAATCTAAAAAGAATTTGAGTTGGAATCTCGGTATGTTACTTAGGTCTTCATGTACTGGAAGATCTTTATTCCCTCTAATATGATGGGACTCCCAAAGGATTCTCATATTGCAATGAACTTGGGGTGAGTGGATGTGTGGTCTTCAGATAACAGAGAGAGAAGGAGACAAGTTCAAAATTTTCCTGCTATGAGAAGAAAACTAGAACAGCCTGATAATCTCATGGAGATGGCTGGCATAAAACATCAGTTGACCTGATAATTTTCTGTCTCTGCTTTCAGTGAGAGATGTATTTTAAAATCTGATGTGCTTTTTACTTAGGGGCATAGATTAGAGCAGAAGAGTGCAACCGATTAATTGTATCTTTCTGTTCACTCTAATGCATTTATAATGCAGCTATTGCTGTGGTATCTTGATACTATATAGACAATTTGAAATCAACAATTACAGAAGATTTAAAAAAAAATAGATTTCCAAGCAACTTGCTAACTTCCCTCCCCTACTTTTAATCATCTCTCAGAATGTATTCTACAGATAGGAGGCACTAGGTTGCCTTCTTCTGGTCCCTTTTGTTTCCCTTGTACAGGAACTCAGTTGGTTTGCCTGCTTAAATATCACTGGATTTCTTTATTAATCCTCCTTAAAGCAAAACACAGTCAATGTTAGGTAATGAGCTAGCTCTGCTACGTAAGATGATCTAACGCCTTCCTCTGGTTTCTCCCCTTCTGCTCCCCTTTGTGAGTATGCCTTTCTGAAAAGCAGCAGCACCTGTTCAGAGGTGAAGGGAACTGCTTTCTCTCAAGGGTAGCTGGTGTTCTCACAACTTGAATCATTTATTTATGTGCTGTGAAGGAGTAATTATAATTGGTTCAAATTTACACTGCTACAGGACATTCCAGCCAGGGCCGGCTCCAGGCACCAGCTTCTCAAGCAGGTGCTTGGGGCGGCCGCTCCGGAGAGGGGCAGCAGGTCCAGGTATTCGGCGGCAATTCGGCGGACAGTCCCTCACTCCGCCTGGGAGCGAAGGACCCCCCGCCGAATTGCCGCCGCAGATCGCGATCGCGGCTTTTTTTTTTTTTTTGACTGCTTGGGGTGGCCAAAACCCTGGAGCCGGCCCTGATTCCAGCTTCCTAACATAATTACCAATATCCCAAAACATGGGCTACTGCCTAGTTCACAAATAAAAACATCTAGGCTTTCCTTTTGGGCACATGCATATGTGTAGTTCACAGCCAGAACTTGGCTCATTGTTTACATATCACAGAAGGGTGTGCCTAAACAAAAGCTCATGTGCCATTTCACCCTACAGTGAGGTCATCTTGCTAAAGATTTGGGGCATCAGGATTTTAATGATAGCAGACAGATGTCATAAACATAGCAATTTGGGTCTGAATATGTGAATACGAGTTTGTATTATTTCAATACAGGATCAAGGAGAAGTGTCTGAAAACTCTTAGTAAAACACAAATGTCTTCAATAAGGGTAAAGAATGCTTAAAAATTTATTGGCTGAGAATTTCTTTTAATGAAAACATTTTTTTTTTTATTATTTTTGTTTGTTTAAATGTGACAGTCTGTCTTTAAAATACAAGCAGCAGAAATAATGTTTAAAAGACTCCAGTTCATGACACCAATGCAACGTACTCTCAGGAATGAATTCACAAAAGGAATTTTAAAGCTATGTTTTTATTTTTGGTTTCTATCTTTACATTTTCTCTTTTCCTGGGTTTTTGTTAAGCTCCTGGGAGTTTTTTTTCTTTTTCTTTTTAAATTAGCTATGATGTCAGTCCACTGTGTTCTGAAAAAGAATAGAAGTCCCCATTACCCCTATGCACACATGTCAGGTCAAGCTGTCTCTCTTTTTGTCTGTGCATGCACCTCATTTTGGGTCATTTTACACATTCATATCTATGACATTAATCTATTTAGTCTTGAAGGAGTACATTTATGTTCCTTATGAACTTTCAAACTACTGAACTTGGCTAAATGAGTCGGAGAAGAGGGGAAAGGTGGACATTTTCTTTTAACATTGAGTGCCTGGTGATTGTATTGACTGAAGGTTGTAAACAACTCCATGTCCATGGATTTTCATGTGAGAGTATTTCAAGGCGATTGACACTGCAGAATAATATTCCCATAAAATGAAGAAGTTGAACTGAAGGGAAGAGCTTTTGTTAACTGTATATTACCCTACGCTTACTCAATCTGAAATCTTTATTTTACTGAAGCTTAAGCTCTTTCAAAGTAATGTTTGTTAATATAGCTTAATATATTTCTCTTTGTTTTTCATTCCTAGGTTCCAACTATGGGAGTCCCCGTCCAGCTCATGCCAACATGAATGCCAATGCAGCGGCAGGGCTTGCCCCAGAGCATATCCCTACTCCAGGGGCAGCTCTGTCCTGGCAGGCTGCTATCGATGCTGCCAGGCAGGCCAAATTGATGGGTAGTGCTGGCAATACAACAATATCCACAGCTAGCTCCACGCAGAGGAAACGACAGCAGTATGGGAAACAGAAAAAACAGGGTACAACCACAGCTACACGTCCTCCCCGGGCATTGCTGTGTTTAACGCTGAAAAATCCCATCCGGAGGGCATGCATCAGCATCGTCGAATGGAAATATCCTTTTCGATGTAGTCACATAGAAACCAGCAAGTTGTTACTGTGCATTAGGCACAGTGCATAAATATGAATAAATAAAGACATTAGGCTGATGGGCACCTCTGGGAATCTAAAGTGGATGAGTAGTCTCTGATGTGTTCATTGAGAGCAGTTGTGCTCAAAAAGTTTAGGCAACTGTACTAGGCTAGAGTCTTGACTGTACTGCAGCATATCAGAAGCCAGCAAAAGTTTTGCATGATGGAGATAGTGTCAAATTTTGCCCTTACAAAAGCATTTACAACTTATGCTAAAATCAGTTGGAGCTGTGCAAGGCTCTCTGAGGGCAGAATTGGACCCATATTATATGAATGATAGCAATGGATCACATTATTTTTTTAGTTACACAATAGGGGAAGCATGAGTAACTTAGGGTATGTCTACACTGCAGTTAAAAACCTGCAGCAGGCCCAAAGCAGCTGACTTTGTCTCTGGGCTCGAGCTGCAGGGCTGTTTAATTGCAGTGTTCTGGTCTCGCTGCAGCCTGAGCTCTGGGATCCTCCCACTTCACAGGGTCCTAGAGCCCAGGCTCCAGCCCAAGCCTAAAAGTCTACACAGCAATGAAACAGCCCCGCATCATGAGCCCTGTGAGCCAGAGTCCGCGGGGTCAGCCAGGGGTTTTTAGTTGCGGTGAAGACATACCCTTAGAGAATTTGATGGTATGTGATTCGAAATTCAAGAGCTGTGTAAGTCGTGGTGTCACACTAAATAGTACAGTATGCATCCTGGAAAGAAAAGGGGGTGGCATTGGCATTGAAGAGTGAAACCTGATAAAGTCTGTGATTGGGCCAAATCCTGTTCACCTTATTCATGGGAGTAATTCCATTGAAATCACAAGGACTATTTGCATGAGTAAAGTGAGCAAGATTTTGCCTGTTCACTGGAACTGGGCGAGAGAGAGAGACTAGATCAGAGGTGGGCAAACTACCACCCACGGGCCACATCTGGCCTGCGGGACTGTCCTGCCTGGCCCCCGAACTCCTGGCCCGGAGTCTAGCCCCTGGCCCCTCTCCTGCTGTTCTTCCTCCCCCGCAGCCTCAGCTCGCTCGCTCGCTCTGCTGCCGGCGCAACGCTCTGGGCGGCGGGGCTGTCAGATCCTGGGGCAGCACAGCTGCAGAGCCCGGCCCGACCCGGTGCTCTGTGCTGCGCGGTGGCGGCAGCAGCGGCGGTGGCAGCGTGGCCCGGCTGTAGCCGGGCGGCGTGGCTGTAGCCCCGCCAACCACCAGTGCTCCAGGCAGCGCGGTAAGGGGGCAAGGAGTAGGGGGTGGTTGGATAGAGGGCAGGGGAGATCGGGGTGGTGGTCAGGGGGTGGGGGTGTGGATGGTGGTCGGGGGGTGGAACAGGGGGTTGAATGGGGGCAGGGGTCCTGGGGGGGGCCGTCAGGAATGAGAGGAGGGGTTGGATGGGGCGGTGAGGGTCCGGGGGCAGTCAGGGGACAGGGAGTGGG